ACCTCAAACTCCCGGGCTCAAGTGATCCTCCTGCCTCAGCCTCCCGAGTAGCTGGGACTACAGGCATGCGCCACCATGCCCGGCTAGATTTTTCTATATATTTTTAGTTGTCCAATTAATTTCTTTCTATTTTTAGTGGAGACAGGGTCTCGCTCTTGCTCAGGCTAGCTTCGAACTCCTGAACTCAAACAATCCGCCTGCCTCGGCCTCCCAGAGAGCTAGAATTACAGGCGTGAACCACTGCGCCTGGCCCCATTGGCATTTTCAAAGCTCACGTTTACTAGTTGAACTTGCCTTAAATTTGGGATTAGGAAGAAGATAAAGTAATGATGTATGACAGTGAAAAAATATTTTCTATTAATAAACTTTATTTTTCTTTATAAAAAATAGGACAAAAAGTCAGTAGAAAGCACTTGCCTTTGTTTTGCACGTCTAGTGGACAACTTCCAACATGAAGAGGTAACCATTTACTCTTTGGTTGTATTTTTATGAAGTTGTTGAATTACTGAATCATGATGTAACAATTTCTTTTTTCTTGTGTTTGTACAGAATTTACTCCAGCAGGTTGCTTCCAAAGATCTGCTTACAAATGTTCAACAGCTGTTGGTAGTGACTCCACCAATTTTAAGTTCTGGGATGTTTATTATGGTGGTTCGAATGTTTTCTCTGATGTGTTCCAACTGTCCAACTTTAGCTGTTCAACTCATGAAGCAAAGTAAGTGCTATTTTATTATTCTGCTTTATGCAGGAAAAGTAGCTTGTTGGTTCTTCATTAATAAGTAAAGTTATCATAAGCCAAGCAAGTAGAACAGATCACAGATATCATAGGCACTGGATAGTAAAGAAGAAAAATGTCAATATGTAATAAACTTGTGTTGGCACAGTATATTTCTAATGTACAGTTTTTAATGTATATGTTAAAAATTTACTCTGGGTGGTTCTAGGGCTAATGACCCAAGATCATTGATTTTTATACAATGTTAATTACATAATGACCCTTCATTAGGAGAATTCTGGGTTTTATGTTATCAATAACTACTTGTCTTTAGTGTGTAGCTAGTCTTTCCTGTCTATGTTAAATTTTGTAGCAGTTTATCTGATTTCAGAATGCTTTCTTCCCTTAAAAAGTTGGAACTGGCCGGGCATGGTGGCTCACGCCTGTAATGCTAGCACTCTGGGAGGCTGAGGCGGGCGGA